CTGGAAGTGAGAGTGGTGGCAGCTCAGCTCACAGATGCCTGCCTCTTTGGCAGAATTATCTCATGCTATAGGATGATTTGGACTGCAGCACAAACTTCAAAAGACTGAAACAAAAGGCAAAACTGCAAAACTGTCTCTGGGGAGGACTACAGGAACAGTGCAAGTGATGACTGACATGCATTCCCGCTCGGTCCCCATGTGTTGCCTGGTCTCGTCGAGAGGTGGCGTCCCTGCCCAAAACAGGGAGGTTGGACTAGATGATCTCTAAGGTCCCTTCCAGCCTATGCCATTCTATGATTCTATGATTCTATGATTAAAACAACTGTGAGGGTGATGATTGCAATTACAAAGTAGGTGGGTTTTGGTTTTGTTCTTGTTTTGGAGTCTTTTTTTAGCTTTTTGATCTAGCCATAAAAAATCCTTCAGGACAGTTTTTATTTTCAACCCTTCCTCAAGCTCCTTTTGCTTCAGCTGAATGTCCCCTCCTGTTCTCTCTCCTCCACGCATACACATGTTGTGTTCTCATTTTGTGAGTTTAGTCCCTTCTTTTTGCTCTATGGCTGTAGAGCAAAGGTGGATGCCCCCACCTTGGCTTGCTGAAGATGTAGCTGTTCGCAGGCTTCAACTCCTTTTTTCCTAAAGTAGGCATCTAAATAGGTCAAGTTAAGAGTCCTAGAATTATCACATTTATTTCAACTAATTAGAAAGGGAGGAGAGCGTGAGAAGGTTGGCTGGAGATATCCCTGTGTAGATACCTCGAGTTAGATGAGAAGTCCAACCACTTCCACTTCAACTTTCCCATTTAATGATCTCTTCACATGCATCCCAGTGCTGCCCCAGTCCAGGTCCAACTTAAGAAGTACCTCTCTGCCTCCTTCTTGTTCTCTCCCTTGCAAGTGGACACAGGAGACTGATTTTGCAAGAGGAGATCTCACAGTGCTGGCATGCCCAGAAGGGAGACAATTTTAGGCAGGTGGAAATTTGGCCACCCAAGATGAAATGCTTTTGTTCTCAAGCAGGGGACAGAACATTTTGCCTAAATGCCCAGGATTCTCACCTGCTTTTTTTGGTCACCTTTTATGCCTATTCCAGCAAAGCGCAAAGTGAACATAAAATGCCAAGGCTGTGCAGTTCTATCTCTATAGCTGAATCTATCCACTACAAAACAACAGATGTGTGAGCCCAGAGTTCAAGGAAGTGGGAAATCAAGACTGGTATTGGGTAAAAAGCAATGCAAGAAATATCCTCTCAGAGGTATGGAATCCCCAGGATAACTATCTACTAATCTTCCCAGGGATACCTTGCCCTCCTTTGCTGGGACACTGAAAACTAAACTGGAGAAAACCCTAGAGAATATGCTGCAGAAATAGCCTACATCCAACAAACTGGTGAATGGTGAGTCAGATAAACTGCCTCACCTCTTCTCATGAATCAGAAGCTGCTGTTAGCTGGCCCTGATGTCAGTAGGGTTGTGCTGCACTACTTCTATTGCACAGAAAGAATCCTTTTCACTGCTGTGGTTTAGCAGTGCCACAACTTGAACTTTTTTTTTTGTGCCAAATTTTTTATCCTTTGTCATAATCCTTCTTGCTAAAGTTCATTACTCTATAATAACACCAGATTGCTTCTTTTCTCTCATCCTGAAGATCAATGAAATGCTACTAAAGCTGCTAGGAAATAAGACATAGCTTAGCAAGGTGTTGCAGTGCGTACAGTATTTCCTCTTACTGCTTCAGCACCAAGCAAGGAAAAAAGAGAGAAAGTGACTGGCTGAATTTACTGTAGTAATCTCTATTCAAAAAGGTAGACCTCTTGTTTATACTTGGGACATCCACAGTCACAAAAATTTGCTCTGGTTTGCCGCGTGTCCAGAATTTGGTTTGTATGATTCTTCTCTGTTGGTATGATTATGATAAAGTGACTTTAAATCCTTTCTGCTGCTCCATGACCTCAGAGTCAGTGCAGGCTATTTCAGCCATGGCAGAAACCAGGGCAGTCTCTGGGCTGCTTCAGCAGAGAGTCGTCTGCCTTCCACTGACTTCTCCCCACAGAAGAGAAACTGGGGCAGTGAGACACCCCTGCACAATTCATCTGCTAGCCAGGGATCTCTAGGCATCATGAACACTCTCTGAAAATTTTATTTGCCACTATGGTGAGCCAACAGGGAACAAAACAGGATGGAAAATTGTGTTTCAACCTGCCTGCTTATCCTAAGAGCATGGGAAACATGAGCTTCACGGAGGCTGCTGGCTCCCCAGCTTTGAGTGCCACCAGATTTCCTGCCCATCTTGCTAGGCCAATTGTCAAGAGCCTGCCTCTGTAGGAGCTGGACCCCACTTTCAGCTGCTGATGTAACAGGGGCATCTGCGTGACTTCGCGGTTTGTACATCTTGGCCCAGACGCTCAGTACTGCAGCAGGTATGCAAGTCCTTCCAGTGTCTATCCCTGTGCTTGCTACATCACTGGCCCTTCTGTTGTGCTGTCTTAAGGGGACTGCTGGCTATGAACTGGGCATGTTTTCACTTGGAACACACAGGAAGTGTTAAACATAATGAAATACAGTGTCAGGGCTTTTGTTCCTCAAGTTGCATCACCTATCCTTTGCTGCTCTTTCATTCATCTTGCATTTATGTGTAGAAAAAAACCCAGAAATTCTGCCTTACTGGGATCTATCAGAGCCTTATAGCAACGCATGCTTTGCTGCTAGCTAATGATAGTCGTTTGGCTCACATTTCGAGGTAGTTGGTAGTGCATTGGGATTCTGCTCTTGGCTCCATGATTCAACATGTCTCTTGCTATGAATGCCTTGGAGAAGAGTAGGATTAGAAGAACTCACCTTTCTCCCCAGCGGAGTGTGATCAAGTCATTCAGGAATATTAACAAAACTGGGGCAAGTTGGCTTGCTTTGCCTTGCAATGATACTTCCATCCTATTTTAATCAGTAGCCTATTTTTGTCTTTGATTCATGATTGTATCTGTACCATGTCTAAGAGTCCTTGAGTAGCATTCGGTTTAGCTTTTTGGTATCAAGAGAAAGAAAGTCCGCAGATTATTTTTGCTGTTGGGGGATTTGCAGGTGCAGGGGCTCAGGCCACGGGGATGTTCCCACAGACTTCTTCCTCTTGAAAAATCAGCAGTCAGAGTTTACTAAGACAAAACGTATTTGAAGGTCCAGAAGCAGAGCCTATAATGATCATGAAAATGTTTCAGGTTAGGAAGTTACACATATCGTAAAGGTGATCCGTATGGAAATAGTGCCTAGGAGCATATTTAAAAGCAAGGCTAAAGAGCTGAGGAGGAGAGGGAAGAGGGAATGCAGCACCTACTGCCAGTCTTGGAAGCAAATACAAGTCTGCCATCTGATGGCATCGAATGGACCAGGCCAAAATGCTTAAACGGTGCCAGTAATGGAAATCGTGCATCCCAATTAGCATTCTCACTAATGCTAATCATGGGTGTGAGGATACTAATCTTCACAAATTGAACGTTGGCATGTGAACACCTGTATTGTTAAGTTGACAGCATGGGTCACGGTATCATTTTTGACTCTGCCAACAAGCTTTGCCCCAGACGGCTCCCAGGCACAGCCACCCTGTTTTGGAGAGTGAGAGTTAACTGTATGGACACAAGCTATGTTGTGCTAGCTGGCCTCAGGTTCTGAGAGTAATCCTTGGCCCACTTTATTTGTTGGTATAACATAATCTGATAGCCCATCAGGAACTGTCTGGGGACCCCACAGGCCTCTCCGAATGACCACTGGAGATACAGTGATGCTACAAAGGTATGCCCAGTGCCAGCACTGAGGTAGGTGACATACCAATCCTGTGGTCTGTCCCGCACCACCTAGCCCTTCAGCACTCGTTTCTTTTCACTGTTCTTTATCCCAAGTCCATAATGATGCTGATTACTTGGCCTCTCCATGGTCTGAGTGGTGGTAGGGGTTTGTCAGCGAGGAATGAGGAGAGATGGTGATGGAGCAGACTAGCCACTACAGTGCATTAAGACCCTTGTGCATGAATCTGCCTTACAGTCCTGCAGCCCTGGGTGACCCATCACCCTCTTCTGCAAAAAGCAATCCACACAGTGCATAGACCTTAGCAGGGTTTCTGAAAGAGGTTTGGGAACATGTTAGTGTGCTAATACATACAGCTAAAGATGATGAGAGCTAGTCAACAGGAACTCAGAGAATTAAATCCATCCTGCTGCAATGGAGGAGGCATGATGTCTCAGGCTAGATGAATCCAGCAGTAAGATCACTCCGGTTTGAGAGACACTCTAATTTGCCTTGACCCTTCTGGCTGTCTCTGCCTTCCCCTTGGTTCTCATCCCCTGTGTAGTTCATTGTAGGATTGCTCCTAGTGTTCATCATAACTTCTTGTGTGAACGGTGTGCCAGACCAAGGTGTCTGATTGACAGACAGACCCAGCCTCCAGTTCCACTCATTGCTTCCCCTCAGGGCAGCTATACCTTCGAAAGGAGAGCCCAGAAAAATGGAGATACATTACAACCTCCTGGGTGAAGGATTCCGTTCTTGAAGGCTAGAGACATTTCTCTAGATCTATGTTCAGTGTAAGAGAAGTCCGAATTACAGATTATAAAATTTTTCCTTCTGGATCTTGCAAACTTCATGTGTTTGTAGAGTTTTCTCTTCACGACCTCTTTAAGTCTTGACTAGGATGATCTGTAGCGGTAGTTAGAGAGCAACAGTTCAACAGTGGTTGGCACGGTCAGTGGGGTCTGTAAAAGGGCGTGTGATCTAGCTGGTAACCCAAGAGCCTGCTCAGGGCACCTAATGAAATGAGTGGTGGTTGCCTGTCATGCTGGGCAGCTCCTTCCAGTCACACATGCTTTCTGGCGGGGTTCTTTCCGTGTTGCAGAAATGTCAGGGACTTGCAACCTGGGTCGCTTTGGGGACAGAGAAGCCATGTGATGGCTGTATGCACATGCAAGATGCTCTAGATCGTGGCTGACTAACCCTGGACCATCTCTTTCCCCACTAGATGCTGTAGAAGAAACCAAACCTACTGAAAGTGCCCAGCAGGAAGAGGTGAAAGAAGAAGAGAGCAAGGCGGACCAAGAAAATGCCTGAACATTAAGAAATGACTCCCCATTGCCCCTCCCTCCCTCCCCCTATCCTCTATCCTTCCTTCCCACCCCAATCTCAATCTCCCCCCTTCCTGCTCACACCTGTGAGCCTGTCCATCCCTCTCCCATTCCCACTTAAACCCTTTTTCTCTCTGTGTGGCAAACATTTAAAGAAAAAAAAAAAAAGCAGGAAAAATCCCAGTCAAACAGTGTGGCTTAAACATTTCTTTGTTTCTTGGTGTTGTTATGGCGAGTTTTTTGGTAATGATGATCCAATCATTTTGGGAAAATTCTTGCACTGTATCAGAGTTCTTTGACCTGGCGCGTGCGTGTGTCTGTCTGCCCACCGCGAGCGCTCTCTCTCTCTCTCTCCCCTCTCTCTCTTCTCCAAGTGTGTGTGTGTGCAATGTTACGTTCATCCGAGGAGTCCAAACTTATCGAGTGAGTTAAAACAAAAGAGGAACAAAAAATCCTTTTCTTCCTTTTTCAATGTGATGGAATGAACAAAAGAAAAAAAAGAGCAAAAAAAGACCAAACCCAACAAAAAAAGAACGAAAAATAATACTAAATCCCAGTTTGTTTTAAGAACTAAAACAACAACAGAAGAAGTGCCAATTAGCATAATGCTTGGCTCCAGGCTCCTTTTTCAAACTGAACAATAATTATAATAAATGAGAATAATGATCATTAATACCACCGTGTCGCATTTCTATGCTGCCGTACATCCTGCTGGCCTGCGGTCTTTGGTGGGTCACTACTTGCATGGCCCTGCTGTGCTCTTTGGCCACCAGTCAGTGCCCAGCTGCTCTCCCTGGCACTGCTGAGGGGATTTTTAAGGGAAGCAGGCTTGGATTTTGAGTGAAGTGTTAGCACCGACTAACATAAAAAATGAAAGTAGCAAGATCAGTTTTAGGAAAGAACAAAATAAGCGATCCTCTAGGAGACCTCTAGGCCGTGATTGGGAGAAGTACAGTGACCTTGGAGGGATGAGCCAGTATAGAGACCAGCTTTGGTCTGTGCTGAAGGTCTGACCTCTGCCAGGGGATTCACTGTGAGGGGCCAGGGTCCCGGGGCCTGAGCTCCAGCACCCATAGCAGCAGGGTGATGCTCAACCCATTGGGCTGGAGTTGGATAAGCTGATGAGTAGCATAGTGTGGCCCTCCAATAATGTGCTATTTGGCAAAATAAATTGGGCCAATGCACTAAATAAATAGGCATGTGGGCAGAACAAGGTCTGGTGGAGTAAAAGCCTGTCGACAGCACTTTCA